AAGAATTAAAGTAGAAAAGAATGAAAATTATCTTATCTTCTTCAAAGATAAATTTTCTCTCTATTTTCAATTAATATCTGTTTGAGAGTTGTAAAGTTTTATCACTCTCATACGGATCATATTGGTATCAGAGCATTATGATCTCACCTGTATATAGTTAATACTAGAAGTGGTTATAAGAAGATAGGAGAATCGATTTCTATTCTCAATGTTCACTGAAGATCCTCAAAAAGAAAAACATGTTTTGAGTCTGTTATAATGGCACACGACTCTATTGTAGTCGACTTGACCAAACAAATTGCTAGTCTGTCTGAATAGATGGCAAAAATTATGTTTTAGATAGAGGATCAATCTCGTGATGATTTTGATAAAAACTCTAGGGGGATATTAAAAGTTCCGGTCCGAGTTTAGGAAAAAAGAAAAAAAGATTAATCTCCTCAAGAAGAGGAAGAAGAGAGGCTGCCAAGACCTTTTAAGGTGGAGGCAAAAATCGATATTCCATCGTATGATAGTTCAATTGATGCTGAGAAATTAGATTCTCGGATTAATCAGTTAGAGACTTACTTTATCTTATATAGGTATAGCAGTGAAGACAAGATCTCATTGACAAGACTAAAAATGACAAGTCATGCCTTAGCATAGTGAAATTCACATATACAAACCCACAAGGGTGAAGAAATTACTTGGGATAACTTTCTAGATCTCATCTGAAAAGAATTTTATCCAATGGGTTACCAAGAAGATTAATGGAGGCGATGGCACAACCTATGCCAAAAGCGAGACCAATCAATACAAGAATATACCACTGAGTTTAGATGCCTAATTGTAGCATTAGGAGTTTTGATGGATTCATCTAAGACGTTCATGAATATACCTCAGACTAATGCCACATATAAGTACCGAATCTCATTTTATAACCAACGATGTGTCTAGCTTAAGTACGATAGCTATGACCATTCAAAGAGAAAATAGTTGTAACGAGCAATCCTTTAAGGCTTAAATCAGGCTCTTCAAAACAAAAAAAAAGGTTAAGAAGGCTACTTCAACCTTATTGCCTTCATCTTCACATCAA